ATCTCTGTCTGATTCAACCTCTGTTCTTAATCTGACCATGACCCTGCCTACATAGATGGCTTGTGACTGCCCTTATCTAGAATGTGGCCTGAATATATAAGCCCATCACCAGAATTTCCTATCTTCCTTTTGGGTATCACTTGAGCCTGAAAGTTTTATATTTATTTTATTTTCTTGCCTCTATTTCTGGACAAGGAACGGTTACATTGAAACTCTTGTTTCCATTTTACTGTCAGTTGTCAAAACTGTCAGTGTTTCAGGCCAAATAAAATCATTTACTCTCCACCTGACTATATAAGTGTCCTAACCTATTGAGGGGAAATCCATTGTGTTACAGCTTCAGTCAATTTCCTTACCCAGAAATTTTTTCTTTGCATATGTCATTCAAACAAGCCAATTGCTCACTGTAGCTTTACCCAGTTAATAATTTATCTCTTGTTCCAACAATTCCTAATAAAGATTTCCGGCAAGGAAATTTTAAGTGATTCAGTTCCCTACTGACATTGATTTTCTTCATTTTGGATTCCCATAAAAAGTCATTTTTTATCATAACTTTTACTATCTTATCCAAAATTACTTTTTTCTGTGTTGTGCAAAAAGCAACAGTGTTTTAATGCTGTCTTTTTTGCAAATCCATAACTATATATATATATATATAAAAATATGTGTAGGCAGCATATTGTCATTCAAACAGATTTCATTGAAACATATAGACATATTATGTCTATTTATTTTAGAATAATCCTTTCTAGTTCTCTAATTAGCTTCTTGATGTTAAATTGAAATTCATCAAGGAAGGCACCATAGTTTTTCCTTACCCGAGTATTTTCAAACTTCTTCTCAGGGGTGAATTGTGAAGACAAACTTATTGTAACTGATCATTATGATAGGGATTTTTGAAAACACGCATGAATGCACTCTGTTATAAATATTTTAAAATTTTAAATTTATCCATTGTAGCTATGGTGTACAAACAAGCATCCACAATATAAGGGAACTAACTAGAGATGGTAGAAATGCAACATAGCATTAAATGTTGGCCAAATACATTTTAAAATGTTGCTGCTATACTCGTAATAAATTTTGTTCAGTTTTGGTTGCTTGCTTTTGATATAGAGGGCCTCGAGAGTTTGAAGTTTTTGCTTTTATTTTCATGTTGTAGTATATTGGTGTTGTCAATAAGTATTTATAATAAACGATCAGAACTCATCTCAAAATGCAGACATGAAAACAAATTTTTACTGCATAACTAAAAATTTAAGACTGAAAATGAACAAGAATAAAGGAAATAAATAAACAAAAACAAGTAAAATAAATGAATCCAAATAAATAAGTAAATAAACTAAGTAAATAATAAACAAATTAACAAACCATGTCCACCAAAATAACTTTTAGAATAATGCAATAGACTACCCACAATGCATCACTGACCTTTATATATAAAAAGTCAAGCAAAAACACAATGCACATGGCCTAACAATTGTGTTTAGTATGAAACACTGTTGCCTCGGGGTGTCGACTTCAAAGTCCACATTTATATTTACACTCTATCCCTGATATTGAGCACTTTAACCCATAAATATAGAATACCTTAATACTTTATCATATATATATATATGTTTAAAAATCAGGAGATCAATTAAAATACACAACTACACATATTTTAATTGACCTCCTGATTTTTAAACTTAAAAGCAATATTTTTATTTTACTTATTTTTTCTCACGTGTATTGAGCACTTTTTCATACTACTGTTCTTAGGTGTGATTCAACTCTGACCATTAACCTTGATGTGTGTATATATATATATATATATATATATATATATATATATTTCTTCTTGCTCTTTATTTCCTATTATTTTCTTCATTTTTTTTTTTTAATATGTGTATTAATACTGCAAAAATAAAATGTAACCCTGAGCAAATATTTAAATACCATAAATATAGTTTTTAATCTGCAACCAAGAATTTATACTAACTCTTGATTATGAGGCAATATCAAAAGCTTCTTGGACACGTATGTCCTGGTAGATTCCATAACTGATTCCAACCCAAGCTGATGAATCATTACAATTTTTTTCTACATTTTCTTGCGTTTTGCTATTGATTGCTCACTCCAAAACATCATTTTGAAATGACTACTCAAAAACCTCAAGACTAATTTCCAAATATCACTCCATCACACCTGCCATGTGGCTTTTTCTTACAGTATAATAATGTTAGTATAGCTTTGAATGATTTTCATTTGGAAGGCTTCACTATCTTCAGTAACTGTCTCACTTTCTATTTCAATCTGTTAGTTTGTCTTGGCCTCTATAATGCTTTTCCTTATTTTGGCTTTCACAGGTGAATGTGATGGTGAATCTTGTAATTCAAACTGTGACCTTTCAACTTTTGTATTTCATGTGCCTTGACCCTATTGAATTCTTGACATCTAGATTTTTTTTTAATTCCATTTCTGTTCAAGTCCAAAGTTGATCATTCCACCATTCAAATGAAGATTTCATAAAAATATTGAAAATTTTTATTAAAATAAAATAAATTTTACAAAGTGATTTCATATATTGCAGAAAAAGTGTCCTCTAGAATGTTTTTTTTTCACTTTTAAATAAAGGCAGTTTTTGCTTAAAGAATAGTGTTCCCATGTGTCTGACAGTGAATGATCCTTTCAATTTGAAGGAATAGGCAATAAAACAAGTTAAAAGTGAGTACATTTTAGCACTAAGATAACCATCATACATTCTTTTTTAGTAATATAACTGAATTTTATTGCAACTATTCTGGCCATCAATCTATTTCCACTGGCTAATTTTAGTTACTTATCATTACAACTAAAATGTAAGAAATACTTGTCAAAAAATAAACAATGGATGACAATGTTTCATTTAATTAAAATTAAGCAAGACAATAATATTACCCTAACAATAAAATAGAATTGACAAGTATCATTGGATAGGTTTTTCATTAGAGAAAATGAGGAGGTCAACTGAACAAGTAGGCTTCTATTTAGCTTGTTGACAATTTCAGGCAAGTTCTGATCATATACCTTTTTTATTTCAGCCAGCAGGATCATTACTAATTTGGCAGACATGAGTCTTGGTGAACTAGTGAAAAGTGGAAGCAGGCCTAGAAATGGTAGTATTAAAAAGGGAGCTGTCAAAGAATGTAATCAAAAACATTAACTTTTTTTAAACTTTTGTTTCTTGCATCATGATTGGAATTCTCATACTCTTGTATTTAAGGAGTTGAACAACAAATATTTTTATTATAATAGTTTACTTACATTCTATATAAAGTTTAGTGTTTAGAGAAAGGAGGGAGGAGAAAGGAAGAAAGAGAGGAAAAAAAGGAAGGAAGAAAGATGAAACATTGAGGGAAGGTAGGGGAAAGAGAAAGAAAATATGAACCACAAAGTTTTCTTGTCATATTCATGTATTCTGCTTTTATCAGCAACATATCTACTGCTTCCCATAATCAAACATCCAAATACAGATTTTAGGAATTTGGTGGGGCTAAGAACTTTCAGTACAACAACATTCCCCTGCCCCTTGCTGACCTTTTGCTTTTACAATGAAATCATTTTTTTTCTTTCAAGCTATCAGGAAATTTTGGGTTCAGAGTTCAACATTTAACTTTTTTTTGTCAAGATGTTATATTTAAATAAAAGATATTTATGAAGAATAGCTTGGTCTGGTACAATGCCCTCAGTGTGGAGCACTCAATGAAGCTTGAAAATACTACATTGTAATGTGGTCAGCCAATCTGGTGCTAACTTTGAAAATTTCTCAATTAGATTCTTCAGATTTACAATTATCTATGAAAAACAAAATAAAAGTCAAATATTATTTATAAACTGAAGACATAAGAATTACCAATTTGAATTTTTTTAGATACTTTTTATCACAACACTGAAATTGTCACATTCTATGGCTATGAGAACAAGTAGTGTATAGCAGATAAAAAAAAAAATATCATAGCCTCCAACAAAATTTGAAACTTGCATTCTATATTCTTGGAGCCTGTCTGACACTGGCTTTACCAATTTCACCAAACACCCAAAACAAGATTTGAAAAGTCCAAATCTCTTCAGAGGCTATTTCTTTATTTCCAATTCTTTAACAATCACAGAACATAATGGCTTGAGCATTGGAATAAAAGAAACAGTAAGATGAAAATAAAACTGGAGCAAATATTCATCAAAGAATTCAGTGGACCAGAAAATAAAGATTCATTTCTATTAGAAAATCAAAAAGGAATTTTTCATGAAAATCACAAAAGTAGTAAGTAAACTGTTATACAAAATCTGGAGTGGCCACTTTTCTTTTTAGGGCTTATTAACCCTTTTCAGGTTCTTTAGAGCCAGAAAACATTAGGTTGCAAGAATCTTTTAGAGATAATAATGATTTATTGATACAAGTCCTACTGATTAACTCAGAAATGGGGGAGGGGAGAAGAGGTGGATTTCTCATATTTACACCTGAGAATATAATGAACCCTACTGGAATTGGAACACAGCCCTACGATTTCCAAATTGAGCCATTATCCATTACACCACCTGCACATCCAAGCTTACAGTACCTGGCATTCCCAAGTGGTCATCCATCTAGGTGTTGATCAAGCTTAATGTTGCTTAACTTTGGTGATCATATGAGAACCAAGGTTTCAATGTGATATGGCCATAAGCTGACAAATTCTTCATTGCAAAAAATAAAAATAATCAATATAGTAACTGACATAAAAGTTTTGAAAAAATATAAAAAAATAAAATCTTTCAAAATAAATTCTCTTATGGGTCTTCAGAATTTGGAATAGTAACTTCAATTCATTGAAACAACAATTTGGAAATATTTAATTTGGAATTAACCTTCATTAAAACATACAAAATTGAGCCGATAGAGGGAAAATCATTTTCATATCATTGTGTTAATGGATTTGATGAGTGTATCCCATAATATGATTCTGTCAAATATCCAAGGAAAAATATATTAACTGCAGCACCATTTCCCAATGAGTTGAGAGATCTCAATCCGAGCCAACAGCAAATCTGGATTGTCATTTGGGTCTGATGGATACATATTTGCACAATGTGCAGTTCCTGGGGAAAAATAAAATAAAACTCCTTTAATTAAAACAATATTATAATCACAAGTAGTTACATTGGGAATATTAGGCAAAGAAACAAAAACATTTTAAGTTACAAATAAATATGAGTAAAAATTATTCAAAATAGAAAGAATGTTGGAGAGTGGGAAGAATTAAATCAATAAAAAATATGTTCAAATATAACAGCTGTAAATAATATTTAAAAAAGAACAAACAAGTAAAATATCTATATTGAATGCATAAATAAAAACTAATGTTATTATAATTTCACATTGTAATATATTTGACATCGTACAAACCAAAAATGATCCACTATCAAATAAACCATTTTCATCATTTGTGAATATTTCACCGTTTTCTTCTTCTATATATTGTTGTTACTGATCATGGCTCTCCACACCTTCCTGTCTTTTGTAGCTAAGTAAGCGCTTTTCTTTTTGATATCTATCCTAATTCCTGTTCTGCCAACAATTTACACAAGCTTGTTAAGTAGGTTATTAACTGCTTTCCTGTCTCTCTTGCCTTCAATGTCCTGTGAGTGTCAAATTCTCCAAGCCCTCTTTCTTTATGTATCCTAGAAATTTCATTCAATTATCTCTTTCTGATTCAAACATGTCTTTTTTGCTTCCATTTTCTCAAAAACTTTCTTTGCTCACATGTTCAGTCCATGGTATTCCCAGCATCCTTCTGTAGAACTATATTTCTGTTACTTAAGTCTCTTAATCTGTGAAGACATTATCCAGCATTCACTACTATATAGGAAGACCAATATTACATAATAGTTCAGTACTCTTTTCTTTGTTTCTAATTAAGTTTTCCTTTTTTTTTAATACTTTGCTTTTGGAAGGCAGCATTCATTATTCCAATATGCCTTCACATTTCATTACTAATTTTCCTCATATTGTTGATAGTTCAAGAATTAACTATTTCTAGTTTTAACCCATCTTATTATTGTTGCTTTTTAGATGAAGCATTTTCAGTATTATTTTGCTGAGTGTGCTCTTGGAGTAGTGGTCATCAAAGTAAGATTCGCTTGCAGAGTTAAAATTCCAGCCAATATTGCTGTGTTTGTTTTCACGCAAATAGCCTTGGGAAAAGTATGAATCCATTTCTAATACCCCTAGATATGGGTTAAATCACAGAGCAGACTAGACGAAACTGGTAACTAGTCTATTCAACCAATTCAAAACTGGCAACTCCACTCTGCAAAGGCCTATTTGCTACAGAAACAACAGCAGCAACACCTAGAATGGTGAGTCTTTGGTCCTATATTCAATAGGAATCTCTAATGGCATTAAGGGGAAGAAGAAAGATTATTTTGTTACTTGTAACCTATCTTACTATCTTTGTTTTGCAGAAAAAAAGCATATACTTTTAATATTAATTGACTGCTAGTTTTGCTCCATCTTATTGGTCTGTTTTTAGAAGAAACATATACCTTGAATATTATTAGATTGCTAGTTTTACTCTTATAATTGTAACTTTTTTATCACAACAGTTAAGAACAATACAACATATATATTTCAAGATGCACTTAAACTGTTTTATCATTAGTTTTCTACCAAATTAAAAACAAAAAAAACTTACCATTGATAAAGATAGCAATAGTATTTTTTGATAAGTTTTTCAGAATTCCAAGTGCATGCCAAGGATCAATGGAACCATTTGGTAGAACAATATTACTTTCAGAAAGCTTTAAACCACCATAATTTGAATTCGTCCACTGAATCCCTTGTTTAATGAAGCTGGCATTATATTTTCTTCCAAAGGCATCCATACAAATTTGGACTGAAAAACTAAGAAAATGAAATTTCATAGCATAAATTTTGTGAAACAATTACAATAATATTTGATAATTTGCTTTTATCAATTTCATGACATAAGACATGCATGTGGCTTTTGTTGATAGTGAACTCAGAAAGAAAACTGAAAGAAGTTTTAGACAAGGTAGAAATGGAAAGCAAGAAGAAATGACTATATTGTAATAGAATGTCTAACTCTCCCTATCGCCTACTGTAGACTGACTATATCAATAGATATATATATATATATATATAGTAAGCACAGGATATACCTGGCAGACTTGCTTCATGAATTACCTGACAATTGGTTGTTTGTCCAGCGTTAGTTCTTTGGCATATGGACTTGAATTCATATTAAGTGTTGTATTTAATTTTTCTTTTTTACTTTTGAAGCTTTTCTTTCTTTTATTTTTCATTTTAATTCCTGTTTAATTTTTTTATTTTCCACCTGTTGGTGTTTTTGCCATTTTTGTTGTTTTCATTTTTCTCTTAGTCAAGTTTTTATTTTTTTATTTCCCCCCCACCACCACCACCACCACGTTAGTTTGTAAATTTTTGGTTTCCACTTGATTTTATTAACCAAGTGTTAATTTTTTGTTGTCCCCTCAATCTTTTCGCCTCATCTCACTGTAATCCTTTTATACGTGTGACATGGTTGTTTTATTTTTTCAATTTTTGTGTTTGCCAAAAAAAACAAGTCAGATGTAAAAAAACAAAGTCAACTTTATTTATTTTTCTCTTGCTGAACCACTCTTGACTCTAGTTCATTTTTTTGTTTTGTTTTGTTTGAAAATTATAAAAAAAAAGTTTAAAAAAAAAAAAAAAGTACCACAAATGAGTGACCCAGATGAATTACCGCCGGAATCCAGTGAAATAAGAGAAACAGCCTGGAAAGAAAAAAGTCTGAAAAAAGATGTGGCTTACTATGCTAGTTTAAAGACCAAAATATGAGGAATACATTAAGGGAAATGGGTTCCTTACAATTCCGGAGGCACTGAACATCATAAATACACAGACAATCTCCCTGCTGACCACTGATGTGAAGAATTGGAAATTAACTGGGATCAGCAGGGAAACCATGGAAGAAGTGCTGAAGACTGTGAATGTTGCCCCATTGGTCTTAGTGAGGAGATCAAATGCAATATGGGACATTCTAGCGAAGAAGGAACCAAAAAGCTGACTAGGAATATACTAATGAGCAAGACAGTGAAACTCCAAACAGAATATATGGGGACTCATAGGACTCAAGTAATTGTCCATGGTGGGCCGGCAGATATTAATGAAGACTGGATGGGGGCCTTTTTTTGTGACGTACAGAGAGGTGGATGAGGTCAGTGCAGTTACGAGTAAGTCTGGCATTGGGGATATCGTTCTGCAGACAACCCTCACCCAACAGAGCTTTGGTGAGATCCCCAACGTGCTGATGTGCTATGATAAATGGATGCTGGTCATGGTGGAAGAACGGAGACCATTTTGCTGGATGTGTGGTGCTTCAGAGCACATGTCAAAGTCATACCCTGGGAAGAAGGTAGCAGCACAACCACAACCGGTGGCATCAGTAGCAACAACACCAACAGTAGCAGCAACAGAAACTGAAAAGAGCCCCAACTCTGGCTGGACAGATATAAAGAAGGGAAAGGCAGCGACAAACACACCTTCTCCCGAGCAGCAGGAGGTTCCATCTCCAAGGCAACATGGACCACCACTGCATGAGCGGTGTGAAGAGGTGACACAGCAACAGTAGCAGGATCCCATTGTTAAGGACATCGATCAATTTGGATCAGTCCAAGGCATTTGATTTCATCACTACCTTGCTGCTGTCCTACAAGCCGCTGGATTCAAATCTGAGTTCTGCCGGTGGATTAGCCTCCTGTATCGCTCCCCCAGTGCTGTAGTACAAGTGACTAGGAAGCTGTTGGGCACTTTTGCACTGTCTAGGTCGGTTCGTCAGGGTTATCATTGGAGCCTCTACTTTGTCAGCTGAGGGACAGGGTGTGCAGTCTGGTCCTATGTGGAATCGCTGTCACTAGTGGGGCTTCAACCATGGTTTCCACTTACGCCGATGATGTATCCACTTTTGTGTCATCCTGCAGTGACATTGAGGTGGTACTGAAGGCGCCTGATTGGTATGAAAAGGTGACAGGGGCCAAGATTAACTGCAACAAGTCTTTCAGCTTGCGGTTAGGTGTCTGGAAGGGGGTCAATCTTCTGGGGCCTTTTGGTTGAACGGACAGTCCTGTCCACATTCTTGGAGTGTGGTTGTTCTAACCAACCTCTAGCTGGAGAAAAATTGGTCAGAAGTACAGTCAAAGGTCAGAGAGTTGGTTTGAATTTGGCGCCAAAGGAGGTTGTCCATGAAGAACAGAGCTGAGGCATGTGCCACTTGTGTCTTTCCTCTCATCTTTTACTGCTTGTCTGTACTTCCTCTCTGTAAGCAACATAAGAAGACAATCGATCGCTTGCTTTTCTCCATCTTGTCGGGCGGATGTAAGCATAAAATCAACAGAGAAGTCTATACACAATGTCTGTGTCATGGAGGGCTGGGAATGTCACACTTGGAGAGTCACAAACTCAAAAACTGAAAAGGCCTTCATATGGGGTTTGGCAGATTTGTTGTGAACGATGTGACCTTGGCTTAGAAGAAACGGCTTTGCACGACTTCTACCATTGTCCTCGGGTCTTCCCCTTATGGGACCATGTTGGCGAGTTGACAGCTCGTATCGCTCCCAAAAAGCTCATGCTCATTGGTCACACATATGTGTGTGACAATTGTGTCGCCCCCGTATTCTGGGGTGAAATGAATGGTATTTCTATCATTGCTGGACACAGTCCGAATGGTGATTTGGATGACATGAATGCAGGAAGATGTCATGCGAGGTGATCATCTTTCACATCAGAATCTAATCCAATTCTTTGAGCATCAGCTCAAGATGAAGATTAGAACTGATAGAAGATTGTTGGTTTCAACAGATTTCAGCAAAATGTGGGTAATTGAGGCAAGCTTGATTCATGTGAACGGGCTAGCCTTAATTTTCATTTTGTCCAACCTAAGTAGCATCAGGGCAGTTTCCTATCGATCCCTCCCCTGGTTAAGCTAGACAATCTTTGTGTACCCTGTTAATGTAAGTAAATGTAGTTCCTGGCCTGTTCCCGGCTGCTTCTTTGGTTATGATCCAAGTTGAGATTCTCAACCTCCCCAGTTTGTTTTTGCACCCCTGTTTTCATCTCGACTGGATCAGATTTTTTCTCTCTCCTTGAACATATTTATTTTACCTTTTCCATTTCCCTTTAAAGAGAGAGCTTCCTGATTCTGTCTAAAGGCAGAATATGGCAGCCTCTCTTTTTTGAGAACTGGATGGGCCCAACTAACATCAGTTATCTTTATTTTGTTTGTTTTGATATATTTTAGTTTGTTTTAGGGGTTCATCTCCCTCCCCTCTCATATCATCCATAGATTTTTATGTATTTAAAATTTTAACATTTTGAGGTTTTTATGTCATGGAGTGCATTTTGTAGGTCCCCCTGAAAGTATTGCGGTATTATGGTACATGGAGGATTGATTGGCAATGGATGGGTTTTTATGGTGAATGTGACAATTGTAACAAATGAATGGGTCATGAATCGGATTAGCTAGGATATCCTATGATAGCAAGTGACGACTAGACTCAACCCAATTTCCCTTTTCGGCCTTCTGCCACAATTTTGTATTCTGTACAAAATAAATTGACTTGCTTTGGGAATTACTAGCCTGCTAACCAATTCCCTGTCTTTCAGTACAGAGAATAGGTTAGCAGGCTAGTAATTCCCAAAGCAAATCAATTTATTTTTTACAATAAACCTGTCTTTATTTCATCTATGCCCATGTTGCTGTTCCTTTCACTTGAGTACCACTTTTGTAAACTTCTTTAAGGATACAACAGACTATTAACTGTAAAACAGAATGCATGGTTGTCAGCAAATAAAACAGCCCAAGTTGAGAACTACATATTGGGAATGTCAAAATCAAGCAAGTACAGAAATTTAACTATGTATTGTACTAAGAGAAGACAAAAAATATGACAGAAATTGTAACCAACATAGTAAGATGTCTTTAAAAAAACTAAGAAAACTATTAAGACATAGGAAAATATAGTTAGAAACAAAAGAAAAGGGTACTGAACTGCTATGAAATATCTGATCTATAGAAAATTTCTTCACAGTTGAAGAAATTTGAAGCAAAAAGATATGATTCTACTGACAAATTCTAAGGATATCATGTGAATAATGAGGAAGTCTTAAGGAAAACAGAAACAAAGAAATTTACACGCAATCAAAAAAAAGAACTCATGAGAAAAGATAGCCAAGTGAATTTAAGACACACAAGACATACCTAAGGTAAGAGTAGTAGCAAGAAAGAGTGAATAACCTACTTAATGAGGACAGATGGATGGATGGCAGAACAAGAACAAAGAGATTATAAAAGGAGGAAAGTTTCATGGAGAAATAAGACAGGAAGATGTGGAGAGCTATGATCACCTACTTAATGAGTCTGTTGAAATGAATGGTAGAATAGAAACAATGAGGAATGGGAAGGAGGTGGAAAATTTCATAGAGCAACAAAAACAGGAAGTTGTGGAGAGCCATGATTGCCCATCTTCTGAAAGAACATAAAAGGAAGAGATAGATTTAATGTTCAATTGCAGAACTAGATTTATTAAACTGCTGACAAAGTAATTGCTTTTTCTGCCATGATCTGAGCAGGAAAGATAGTTATAGGAGAATGGTTTTCACTCACTTTACCATCAAGCATTGTAGCATAATGACAGTGCCAAGATATTTGGTTAAGATATTTTTTGATATACAAAAAAATAAAGCACCCCTTAATGGTACCTACTTTTTTTTAAAGAGGGTGGAGGTGGGGATAATGTAGAATAGAAGATGACTTACCTCATGCAGTAAAGCAAGAATTTGTATGTCTGGCATGCAAAATGAGTGAAAGAAAAGAAAAAGAAATA